CATTTTGCTCTCAAACTACCACGTGTTTTTCAATTTGACTCCCATACTTCGATTTATTTCAATTTAGTACATGAACTTTCAACAAATTGATCAATTTAACCCCTATCATCACGTTCCGTCTACAATTGGACGGAATGTACTGACATGATACCAAGTTCATTTGGAATTTCATCTTACCCCCCAAACTGTACCTTAAAAATCAATTTGCTCCCCAAATATAAACAAATTAAATTTAAATATTTAATAAATAATTTTTTATCTCAATAATAAAAAAAAATTAAATCTTAAATAATAGGGCAAATTACAAACACCCCCCTCGAGGTTTGGTAAAAATACAAATTCTCCCCCGAGGTTTGAGAAATTACAAATTGCCCCCTGAGGGTCAAATTTTCATAACAAATTAGGAGAAATTAGGAGGGAATCTGTATGAAAATAAAAACCTCAGGGGGCGGGATGTAATTTCTCAAACCTCAGGGGAAATCTGTATTTTCACCAAACCTTGAGGGGGGTGTTTGTAATTTGCCCTAAATAATATATACTTTGCAAAAAAAAAATTTAAAAAATAAAAATTCTCATTTTGAATTATTTTGAGACTATAAAGCATAGAAAATTTGACAAACATGTTGTATCCGTACTGGATACTTACAAATAGAATTTAATTATATGATTAGCCATGTTTTATTTTTATTTTTTATATTGTAAACGTAAAAAAAGAAAAAGAAAAATGGATACTCTAATGTGTCATCATTGCATCGGTGGACTCAAGTCCCATGGTAACTAGTTGCAAGCCTGATTTAACCTAACTTAAAGGAAGGGACTCACCACCTAACTCCAGTGAAATTCAACCATATGTCACAAACAAGCTTAAAATTCGATCCAAAGATTTCCGCATAGTGTCACTAGAATTACCCAGCATTGGCCATGTCCTCTAGATTAATTTTAACATGAATAATTGGCTTCAAATCTTAAAAGTTAGTTGGAGTGGACCCCATGAAAAGGCCGTGTTGAACCCTAATGGACTTGTGATACAGTGTTGAGTTTTGAAAGAGAATAGTTGTGTTCATTAGTATAATACCAAAAAATTACGGTGAACATCATCAATGGAGGAATTTTTGTGTTAGTGAAGAGGCATTTTGTGAGGTGGGAGTGCTTGGCTTTTATCATGGTTTGGGATCTAATTAATTACTTTTTTATATTGATAAATTAAATTATTTCTTTTGAGATTTTAAAAATAAAGAAAAATTTACTCACAAATCTCATACGGGGGAATGTTGACCCATTTAATTCTAAGAGTTTTCTTATGAACCAATTAGTCATTTTTGTTTTGAAAATTTGTATTCATTTGATTTGATATCATTTGAGTTTAAGTAAATGCCTTTTTATGATTTATTTTTCTAATTTTCCAATACATTTTTGGAATGAGAATGGAAATGTGAGGTGTAAAAGATTCTTTTTGAAGGAATTGGTGGCTGAAGTGTTGGTGTTGAACATGGAAATCTACATTTCTGTTAGTGTGATTTTTCGGTGTTACATTGGAGTGTTATATTAGAGTGTTACATTTGAAAAAATACAATAAGGAATTTTTATGTGTTACATTTGGTAAAAAAAAAATACACTGAAGAGTTTTTAAATTATGTGCGTGTATGTGTGTGTTTATTATAATGTGGTTTGATATATGGTATAAGAAATAATGATTTATGAATAAAAAGTTTATTATAATGTGGTTTGATATATAGATGTTTCATTTTAAAACAAAACAGGTATAATTCATAAATTTAAATTTATTTATAAAAATGACATTATCATATTATTTTTGTGAAAAATTTTGCATGAAAAGAGTATCTTTATATAAAAAGTTATTCACATGATACTCGCAACTTATAATGTAACAAAAATTTTTACGAATGAAATAATGTTAATTCACATTTGTTAAGTAGTTAGAACATTTCCAACAGTTCATCTATTTTTCATCAAATTTGAATAAAAGTTCAATTTGATATCAAGTGCTCCAACGGAGATTTTTAAGACTTCATCGAAACACTGATCAACCTGGTGAACAACCAGGCAGATGTCTAGCTGATCGACCGGCCAGTGTAATTTTTTCAAAATTTTTTATCTTGAGGTGGTCATCTGAGGGGACATCCGGTGGTAAAAATCTAACAGATATGAACAGTGATTTGATAAAAGGCACATCTATCTTCAATTTAATGAAAGATTTGAAAGATCCTGAATTTTATGAAAATTTTGGTGAAGGTTTGGAACAACAAAAAGGGAGTTTTTTCATCAAATTTAAATTTGATGAACCATTGAAAATGGTCTTAAAGACAAGATATGAACCAACCTAACATATTTTTGTAATTCTTGACTATTTGCCTCCTTAAAGTTTTACCCATTTCTCATTTTGACCATTTAAGTTTGATTTTTTTTTTCAATTTCACCCTTTATTTTTTACAATCCTTTCCACTTTGGTCCTTCATGTTTGCAATCATTCCCACTTTGGCCCTTTAAGTTCGATTTTTCTCACTTTAACCCTTCATATTTATAATCATTCCCACTTTAGCCCTTCATATTTGTAATCCTTCCCATTTTACTCCCAGACTACCTTTCATCCAAAAAAGTAACAGAATTTATTACATCAGCTCCATATATGATGTAAAAAATTCACTAAAAATGCAAAAAATAAAAAAATTAATTTTTTTTTTAATCTTTCGTGAACTTTTTTTCCAAATGTATTCACAAACATTATTATATTATAAATTAATCTAGATTAGATACAACTAAAAAAATAAAAACAAATTTAACTTCTAAAAAAAAATCTCTAAAGACGAAAAAAAAATGATAGTAAATTTTTCATTTCAGAACTGACAATACAGGGATTCGAGTCAGTAAAATTTTTTCTTTTTTCAGTTAAATTTGTTTAAATTTTTTTAATTGCATCTACTCTTGATACATCTATAATGTAATAATGTTTATGAATAAATTTAGTTAAATTCATTTTAATTTTTTTAACTGCATCTAATCTAAATGCATCTATAATGTAATAATGTTTATGAATAAATTTGAAAAATAAAGTTCACCAAAGATTAAAAAAAAAAATCCAATTTTTTTGTTTTTTGTTTTTTATTTTTTATTTTTTACATCTTTAGTGAGTTTTTTACATCACACATGGAGTTGATGTGTTAGTGATGTGGCAGGTTCTGTTAGTTTTTTGGATGGAAGTTAGTATTGGGATAAAGTAAAAAAGATTACGAATATAAAGAGCCAAAGTAAAATTGATTGCAAATATAAAAAGCCAAAGTGGAAAAAATTAAACTTAAAAGGTCAAAGTGAGAAATATTACAAACATGAAGAGCCAAAGTAAGAAAAATTAAACTTAAAAGGTCAAAGTGGAAAATGAGTGAAACTTTAAGGGGCAAAATGTAATTTACCCTTTAATTTATGTAGTTGTTCATGTAAGCAAAAACAATCTCTTTCATAAATCAATAAAAATCTAAAAGAGGTAATCTAGGTTCCAATTTAGGCAGGCCTAGCACACAAAAGATGTCTATATTCCACAAAATAGTACTTGCACTAATTGCCAACTTTCTCATAGACTATTCTCAAATAGAAAAGAATGATAATGATAATTACATTCAAATTAGCCTTTCAATACTTTTCTTTTGAAGAAACATTAACAGGTGAACATATTTTCTTATTTAATAGATTTCACAAGCAGATACAACTTTCTGAGGCAATCAATGTGTAAGACGTGAATAATACATGTTTTGGCAATAAATATTTATTACGTATCCGGTTGCAAAAAATCAATCAGCACAAGAGAATGCTTTCTCGACCATAAGAGTGAGGAATAGAAACCCGCCAACATAGATGCAGACTGCAACAAGCATAACCACTAACACAGCATGCAAAGAAATGTAAGGGCTCACAAAAAACGCAATTGCGATCGAAACACATTGCCAAACCTTGAGCTGTGCAAGTGCTCCTTCCTGTACACCCCAAAAGTAACATTTGAGAATTAAATGCAAGTGCATTTGCACAAAGAAATGACCAAGAAAACGTGAGGGCCAAATATCTTTAATATACTTGAATGAGAAATAAATTAGACATGAGTATGAAAATCATTAAGATAACTAACATTATAAAGGAGAGCACAACACACAAAAGTCAATTTTCTCCTATTTGTTTAATTGTTCAATTAGGAGAACACTTGTGGAACCCATATCTTTAACTTTCCTAAAGGAATAAGTTCTAATTTCCTTCAATATATGAAATTTACGTCTCAAGAATCTCAATATACCTTGTCTTCAACCATAAAACATACGTTTTCACAATCACATCCACTGATTTATTTATTTATTTTATAAATAAAAAAATACATAGTTTCATCCCACCTGCCTCTCAATTAGATCCAAGCACGAACACCTCTAAGAAGATAATGTGTCGAATACATGTCCAAATGTGTCATTAATTTTATTATTATTTTTTATTTTTTTAGATCTAGACACGCTTTGGACACACGTCCATCACTTATTCATACGCTCAACTCAAGGCATGCACTTCTCGTGTCAACACTTACGTGAAAAAGAGTATAAATCAAACTAAAAAAGGCTTAGTAAAACAAACAAAATAAATCACTACCATATCATGCTTAAAGAGCATCCCAAGCAAAGCATTAAGCTGTGTGTTGAATATTCCATCCCCAATTCCCAATGCAGCTGCCATGAGAAGGGGGTATAAAATGCCGAGTACTCCACTAGTTACGCTGCACAATGGCACAGTTAACAAGAACTAATAAATTCATAGCAGTTTCAAATCAGATATATATATAATTAAAAACTTTAGATTCTAAATAACTTTAATAGGAATCGACAAGAAACCTAACATGTACTTCAGTAGAAGCCAAAGCAGTACAATTAACTAAATGAAAGCTCCAGCACAAACTATTAGAGTGATTGACTTGAGACCAGAGGTGAGTCAACCCATAGCCAGCGAACACTAACACATATTCCAGATATAAACTGAGTCTAAAAAACTTAATGAATCAAACAAATGACAAATTATAAAACAAAGATGGTTTTCCTGGGTTTTTAACTTTTAGCGCACTTGAGGTGTAATAGTATTTACATCCTATGCCACATTATTATTGAATAATTTCCTATAAAACATAAGAGGCTAGAGATCATAGCAGAGATTGTGAGTAATAACTTGAATGCACATACCGTGGGAAAAACAAGATTATGGAACAGAACACAGGATATGATTATCCATCCATATTATCCATGTGAAGTACCACCAGGGCAATAAATGAAATTTTGTATATTGTTGCAAACACACAACACAACTCATAGAGAATAAATATGGAAAACGATATATATTATTTGTTATTCTTGTTGCTTACAAAAGGAAAGGGTAAATGAAATTTAAAGTTGTTCACTCAATTCATTTTTATTTCTCCAACCCAACAAGAAAGAGACGAAGAACATGCCTTGTCAAAATTAATGTATGTAAAACAGAAACAGACTCACCAAGTGAGCTAATTCATGTAAACCATTCCATAAAGCTACTCATTTCTGCAGTGTCATACTTACAATTGCATCAAAAGCTCCATACACTGCCATAGCACCACCTACACCAGACTCACCAAGTGCAGGTTTCGCAATGTACTTGGTGCATTCAGCCCTAAAATTGTAAATGCTTTCCATGCTTAATTGAAGAAAATGTTACAATGTATATAGTGCACAAATTGAATGGTCAAAGGACAATAAAAAAGTAAAATGTCATAAGTTCATCAACAATTACCATACAAATGCTTGTTGTAAGCCTGAATATGCAATAAGGGGGATGATTAATAGCATTCGTAAGTCAAACAATGGAAGAGTAGAAACTGACAGAAGAATCTGGTAAAGTCTCCTCTCCTTTAGCATCCCTCTTTTGTAAGAAGCACATGAGCATGGTACCTAAGGTCATACTACAAACAAACACAATATGTAGTAAAGTTGTGCCACTGCCACTGGTAGTTCCCCCCTGCAGTGATGTGAAAGAAAGAATAACAAATTAAAGATGCGAGTGTTTTAAAAGAACAAAAAATCATAGATTCTGACACTGAGGTTTCCACAACCAAATGAAAGATAGTGGTATATTGCTGTCAAGGACAGCACTACATAGGATTAAAGGTGTGCCATTGAATATCCTTATTTATTTATTTTAATACAAGTAATTTATGTATATTTTAATATTTTATTTGCTATCTTAAAAATATATATATTGAACAACCCAAGAAACACATACACTTCTTGACACAACTAAGAAGGTGCGTATCCATGTTTGATGCATGTCCGGCACTAGCACTCATTGGACACTTTTTGACGTGTTGGATACTGGTATCAACTTTTTTTTTTTAGACCTTGATACCCTTCAGATACTTGGGTAGAGGTGTGAAGGATTCGCAGAATGGAACGGTCAAGTTTGTCGACTTGACAAAATTTTCTAACAAAAGGAAAGCCAAAAATGGGAGTCAACCATGTCGAAAACTCTATAGCTCTAATTGTCAACATGGCTATACAATTGTTTCCCACGGTTAGACAACTACTCCAATGGGCTATGCCACTCAAACCAACTAAGGGAAGTCATTCCTCTTGAAACTCCCTTCATTGATTGATTTCGAGACTATCGAAAAAGGTTTGGGACCCTTGATTTTATCCCTTTTTTAAAATTAAAAAAACAAACTATCATTAAAACGTCCACCAAAGAAATTAATAAAGAAACAAAAGAAAAAGGGAAAGCCTCCCTTAGCCAAAGAGGGGGAAAAAAAGGAAATAGAAATCATTCACTTCATAATAAATAGGACTCTCCTCATCTTTCTGCCATCTTTATTTTTCAGTGCTAGCTTATAGCTAAAATTGCATTAGAGATGCAAAAGAGAAATTTAACATTAAATAATTTTTTTCGTACAATGAAGGTCAGAGTTTCTCAAGTGTAATGCAAGTATTAATAACTAAAACTATGATAATGAATTGGTACTGGTAATACAACAAACAACATAGAAAAATATAGGACATGGAATTCAGCTTGGAATCACAAGCATGCACATACCATTCCACCTTTCAATAGAAAAAGAGACATGAGGTTTCCAACGAACAGCAAAATTCAATAAAAAAATGAAGATTATTCCAGATGAACAACATCCACACAAAACAAATTGAATATATTATTATTAAATCCAAAGATCATTAAAATTGTCATAAAAAACTAAAATGCAGCACCTGGTGACCTGCAAACATTCCCCAAAATTCTCCATTGAAGTTACCAATCACGTTTCCTTCTTCTAAGTTTAAATCATGTGCATGACTGCGTGCTGTAGAAGTAAGATATGTACCCTGATGGACTATAATATCGTTAGGGAAAAAGTAATGTACTTATTACATCATCAAACACAACAAAGTGACGAACCAAATCTAAAAGATGGACTTGTACCTCCGCAACCCATATTATTGAAGCAGAAAATCCCAGGTACAAGGAAGCTGGAACCATCGTGTACCTACCACAAGAACATTCATTTTTAAGTATATACAACTTCATCAATTTGACGAACATAATAGGGCTCTATTAAATATGCGTCCACATCATTATTTAGTACAACACTGACAAGCATAAGAATGTTTTCTCGAGTCAGAGAGCAACCACTTTCTGCAAATAGCGGAAAGACAAGGTCTACATCTAGTCTTAACCTCCCAAGTCCCAAACCACATGGACTTTTAGTCTCATGAAATTCACTCAAACATTTTGGGAGCAGCTCCGCTCAAGACTTTTCATAAAATGAAACACGATTAGTAAGTGTATCGATCGATGTTCGATCAAGCTAAATTTTTATAAATATATTCTTCTCTTTGCACTACAAGATGAATGGTTCAAATCACAAAACTATGGAGCCTACAAAATAGAGTCTTGAGGGAGTATGGAGAAGATGTAGTCTTGAGGGGAGCCTACACCCTAACAATTTTGGCTATTTTCATCACCTATCAGTGCAAAGGCACAGTCACAGAAAACTTAAAAATAATAGGTGTCACAAAAAAAAAAAAAAAAGGCATAGGCAGTGGGCGGTGCCCAATTTAAACAATTGTCATTCCTAAAGATTTCTGTCTGATCAAAAACATTTCATAATTTCTAAAATTCTACTCGGGTTTTCTTTCACAATTATTTCCTCCCAACGAGCTTTCGATTTTATTCCAAGTATCTATTCAAACAATTGCCTCCTTAGTCAAATGTCTTTCGAGGGGATTTCGAATTTTATTCAAAATTGAAGATTTGCTCACCACTTCCTTATCTACCATTTTTCATAAAAGTCGAAATTCCCCCTAAACTCAATGACTTAAAGAAACTTATTCGATCATCCACCTTCCACAATCTTCGAGGCTGTACTTAAGTTGCAAAGTTCCTATTTTTTTAGAAGTTATTCTTTAATAACATGTTTTCTTGGGGATTTAAATTTTAAAAAGCCAATCATTCTTTTCCTTTTCCTCTTCTTTGAACACTAAGGTAAGAACCCAAATTCAAACTCAAATTCTTCAAAATTGGGAAACCACCCCCCTAATTTACTACTGATTACTCAAATCATGATCAAAATATGAATCACTGCCTAAATTGAACCCCCAAATCTTTGTAACTGCATCATTGCTCCCAAATAACTCGGATTGCCATAGAATTAAATCACTGCCACGTCAGACTCCCCAGACTTTGGGAATGAAATCACGGTCTTTCTCGTTGTTAGATCGCTGGAACAAATCAAATCATTTCCAAAATATCACATAAGCACATAATTTGCATTCATGCCCATTTGAAGGGTAGGGTTGCCCTGTCCTAATTTAGAAGTCAGACCTAGGATTCATTAAATCATTCAAAGAGGCAATAATACAATCCTAGAAAGGAGGATATCCAACCATAGTTTGGAAGCTGCTAATGCTCTCTCCATGCAAAAGAAGGTAAGTTTGGCAACAAAAGGGTACATCAGTTATTACTATCAATATACCACTCCTTCCACAAGGGAATGATCAAACAGTACTAGTAGCATAGTCTCATGCTTGCCTTATTGACATAACATAACCCACGAATAGTGTCCGGGATACTATGCACCAAACCCGAGGATAGGTGAATGGAACTAGTCAATTTTGTTTAACACTTACCATTGGATCTCAAAGTCATCGTCATCACCCATTGGGTGATAGTTGCCCGACCAAGGGAATTCTGAGAAATTTAAAGGATTCCTACCAGAGTGATCAATCTAAACAATTGTCTTTCCATTACTTATTGTTTCCCGAAATGTGCCCCAATTTATTTTCAAAAGTGTGTGATCAAATTTCAACTTCTATTTTTTTCAAAATTGTTTTTCAAAATAAAGTGCCATTTTTTTTTTCTTTAAAATTTCAATGTTTCCCTTTCCTCTTTTTTTTCGAATGTTTTGAGGAGTTCGGATTTTATTCCAAGGAATCAACCAAACAATCGCCCATTAGCCAAATATCTTGTACGGGAACCAAAATTTTATTCAAAATGAGAGACTCGGTCATTACTTCCTTGTCTAACATTTCTCCATAAAATTAAGGTTCCCTCAAAGTCAGCGGCCCAAAGGTTTATACCTAATGAAAAGAACTTTCCATAATTTCGAAACTCTATTCAAATTTTATTTTCAAAAAATTTCCAAAGAATTTTAGATCTTATTCCAAGAAATCAATCAAACAGTCACCTTATAGTCAAACGTCTTCTAAGGAAATTCAAAATTTCACTTCAAAGTGAAAGACTTGGTCATCACCTCCTCATCAACACTTTTCCATAAAATCAAATTCCCTCTAAAGTAAAAAACCAAAAGATTTCTATCTGATCAAAAACTTTCCATAATTTCTAAAATTCTACTCGGGTTTTCTTTCACAATTCTTTCCTCCCAAGGAGCTCTCGATCTTATTCCAAGTATCTTATCAAACAATTGTCTCCTTAGTCAAATGTCTTTCTAGGGGATTTCGAATTTTATTCAAAATTGAAGATTTGATCACCACTTCCTTATCTACAATTTTTCATAGAAGTCGAAATTCACCCTAAAGTAAATGACTTAAACATCCTTATTCGATCAAACACCTTCGATAATCCACGAGGCTATACTTAACTTGGAAAGTTCCTTTTTTTTTAGAAGTTATTCTTTAATAACATGTTTTCTTGGGGATTTAAATTTTAAAAAGGCAATTATTCTTTTCTTTTTCCTCTTCTTCTTTGATCACTAAGGGAAGAACCCAAATTCAAACTCAAATTCTTTGAAAATGGGAAATCACCCCCCTAATTTACTACTAATTACTCAAATCATGATCAAAATATGAATCACTGCCTAAATTGAACCCTCAAATCTTTGTAACTGCATCATTGGCCCCAAATAACTCGGATTGCCATAGAATCAAATCGCTGCCACGTCAGACTCCCCAGACTTTGGGAATGAAATCACGGTCTTTCTCGTTGTTAGATCGCTAGAATAAATCAAATCATTTCCAAAATATCACATAAGCACATAATTTGCATTCATGCCTATTTGGAGGGTAGGGTTGCCCTGTCCTAATTTAAAAGTCAGACCTAGGATTCACTAAATCATTCAAAGAGGCAATAATACAATCCTGGAAAGGAGGATATCCAGCCCTAGATTGGAAGCTGCTAATGCTCTCTCCATGCAGAAGGAGAGGTAAGTTTGGTCACAAAAGGGCACATTAGTTATTACTATCAATATACCACTCCTTCCACAAGGGAATGATCAAACAGTACTAGTAGCATAGCCTCATGCTTGCCTTCTTGACATAACATAACCCATGAATAGTGTTCGGGATACTATGCAACAAACGCGAGGATAGGTGAATGGAACCAGTCAATTTTGTTTAACACTTACCATTGGATCTCGAAATCATCGCCATCACCCATTTGGTGATAGTTGCCCGACCAAGGGAATTCTGAGGAATTTAAAGGATTCCTACCAGAGTGATCAATCCAAGCAATTGTCTTTCCATTGCTTATTGTTTCCCGAAATGTGCCCCAATTTATTTTCAAAAGTATGTGATCAAATTTCAACTTTTATTTTTTTCAAAAATCTTTTTTCAAAATAAAGTGTCGTTTATTTTATTTTATTTTATTTAAATTTTCAATGCTTCCCTTTCCTCTTTTTTTTCGAAAGTTTTAAGGAGTTCGGATTTCATTCAAAGAAATCAAAAACACGATCACCCTTTAGCCAAGTATCTTGTACAGGAACCAAAATTTTATTCGCAATGAGAGACTCGGTTATTACTTCCTTGTCTAACATTTCTCCATAAAATTAAGGTTCCCTCAAAATCAGTGGCCCAAAGGTTCTTACCTGATGAAAAGAATTTTCCACAATTTCGGAACTGTATTCAAATTTTATTTTCAAAAAATTTTCAAAGAATTTTAGATCTTATTCCAAGAAATCAATCAAACAGTCACCTTATAGTCAAATGTCTTCTAAGGAAATTCAAAATTTCACTTCAAAGTGAAAGACTCGGTCATCACCTCCTCATCAACACTTTTCCATAAAATCAAATTCCTTCTAAAGTCAAAAACCTAAGGATTTCTGCCAGATCAAAAACTTTCCATAATTTCTAAAATTCTACTCTGCTTTTCTTTCACAATTCTTTCCACCCAAGGAGCTCTCGGTCTTATTCCAAGTATCTAATCAAACAATTGTCTCCTTAGTCAAATGTCTTTCTAATAGGTGAATGAAACCAGTGAATTTTGTTTAACACTTACCATTGGATCTCGAAGTCATCGTCATCACCCATTGGGTGATAGTTGCCCGACCAAGGGAATTCTGAGGAATTTAAAGGATTCCTACCAGAGTGATCAATCTAAACAATTGTCTTTCCATTACTTATTGTTTCCCGAAATGTGCCTCAATTTATTTTTAAAAGTGCGTGATCAAATTTCAACTTCTATTTTTTACAAAATCCTTTTTCAAAATAAAGTGCAGTTTTTTTTTTTTTTCTTTAAAATTTCAATGTTTCCCTTTCCTCTTTTTTTTCGAATGTTTTGAGGAGTTCGGATTTTATTCCAAGAAATCAACCAAACGATCGCCCATTAGCCAAATATCTTGTACGGGAACCAAAATTTTATTCGAAATGAGAGACTCGGTCATTACTTCCTTGTCTAACATTTCTCCATAAAATTAAGGTTCCCTCAAAGTCAGCGGCCCAAATGTTTTTACCTGATAAAAAGAACTTTCCATAATTTCAAAACTCTTTTCAAATTTTATTTTCAAAAAATTTCCAAAGAATTTTAGATCTTATTCCAAGAAATCAATCAAACAGTCACCTTATAGTCAAATGTCTTCTAAGGAAATTCAAAATTTCACTTCAAAGTGAAAGACTCGGTCATCACCTCCTCATCAACACTTTTCCATCAAATCAAATTCCCTCTAAAGTCAAAAACCTAAAGATTTCTATCTGATCAAAAACTTTCCATAATTTCTAAAATTCTACTCGGGTTTTCTTTCACAATTCTTTCCTTCCAAGGAGCTCTCGATCTTATTCCAAGTATCTAATCAAACAATTGTCTCCTTAGTCAAATGTCTTTCTAGGGGATTTCGAATTTTATTCAAAATTGAAGATTTGGTCACCACTTCCTTATCTACCATTTTTCGTAAAAGTCTAAATTCCCCCTAAAGTCAATGACTTAAAGATTCTTATTCAATCAAACACCTTCCAAAATCTCCGAGGCTCTACTTAAGTTGGAAAGTTCATTTTTTTTTAGAAGTTATTCTTTAACAGCATGCTTTCTCGGGGATTTAAATTTTAAAAAGGAAATCATTCTTTTCTTTTCCCTCTTCTTCTTTGATCACTAAGGTAAGAACCCAAATTCAAACTCAAAATCTTTAAAATTGGGAAACCACCCCCCTAATTTACTGCTGATTACTCAAATCATGATCAAAATATGAATCACTGCCTAAATTGAACCACCAAATCTTTGTAACTGCATCATTGCCCCCAAATAACTCGGATTGCCACAGAATTAAATCACTACCACGTCAGACTCCCCACACTTTGGGAATGAAATCACTGTTTTTCTCGTTGTTAGATCGCTGGAATCAAATCAAATCATTTCTAAAATATCACATATGCACATAATTTGCATTCATGCCTATTTGGGTGGTAGGGTTGCCCTGTCCTAATTTAGAAGTCAAACCTAGGATTCACTATATCATTCAAAGAGGCAATAATACAATCCTTGAAAGAAGGGTATCCTGCCTAGTTTGGAAGTCGCTAATGCTCTCCCCATGCAAAAGAAGGTAAGTTTGGTCACAAAAAGGCACATCAGCTGCTTCTATCAATGTAGCACTCCTTCCACAAGGGAATGATCAAACAGTACTAGAAGCATAGGCTCATGCTTGCCTTATTGACATAACATAACCCACGAATCGTGTCCGGGATACTATGCAACAAACCCGAGGATAGGTGAATGGAACCAGTCAATTTTGTTTAACACTTACCATTGGATCTCGAAGTCATCGTCATCACCCATTGGGTGATAGTTGCCCGACCAAAGGAATTCTGAGGAATTTAAAGGATTCCTGCCAGAGTGATCAATCTAAACAATTATCTTTCCATTACTTATTGTTTCCCGAAATGTGCCCCAATTTATTTTCAAAAGTGCGTGATCAAATTTCACCTTGTATTTTTTTCAAAATCCTTTACTAAAATAAAGTGCCGTTTTTTTTTTCTTTAAAATTTCAATGTTTCCCTTTCCTCTTGTTTTTCGAATGTTATGAGGAGTTCGGATTTTATTCCAAGAAATCAACCAAACGATCGCCCATTAGCCAAATATCTTGTACGGGAACCAAAATTTTATTCGAAATGAGAGACTCGGTCATTACTTCCTTGTCTAACATTTCTCCATAAAATTAAGGTTCCCTCATAGTCAGCGGCCCAAAGGTTTTTACCTGATGAAAAGAACTTTCCATAATTTTGAAACTCTATTCAAATTTTATTTTCAAAAAATTTTCAAAGAATTTTAGATCTTATTCGAAGAAATCAATCCAACAGTCACCTTATATTCAAATGTCTTCTAAGGAAATTAAAAATTTCACTTCAAAGTGAAAGACTCGGTCATCACCTCCTCATCAACACTTTTCCATAAAATCAAATTCCCTCTAAAGTAAAAAACCTAAGGATTTCTGCCTGATTAAAAACTTTCTATAATTTCTAAAATTCTACTTGGGTTTTCTTTCACAGTTCTTTCCTCCCAAGAAGCTCTCAATCTTATTCCAAGCATCTAATCCAACAATTGTCTCCTTAGTCAAAAGTCTTTCTATGGGATTTCGAATTTTATTCAAAATTGAAGATTTGGTCACCACTTCCTCATCTACCATTTTTCATAAAAGCCGAAATTCCCCCTAAAGTCAATGACTTAAAGATTCTTATTCGATCAAACACCTTCCTTAATTTCCGAGGCTCTACTTAAGTTGGAATGTTCCTTTTTTTTTTTTGAAGTTATTCTTTAATAACATGTTTTCTTGGGGATTTAAATTTTAAAAACGCAATCATTCTTTTCTTTTTCCTCTTCTTCTTTGATAACTAAGGTAAGAACCCAAATTCAAACTCAAATTCTTTAAAATTGGGTAACAACCCCCCCAATTTACTACTGATTACTCAAGTCATGATCAAAATATGAATCACTGCCTAAATTGAACCCCCAAATCTTTGTAACTGCATCATTGCCCCCAAATAACTCGGATTGCCATAGAATCAAATCACTACCAAGTCAGACTCCCTACACTTTGGGAATAAAATCGCTGTCTTTCTCGTTGTTAGATCGCTGGAATCAAATCAAATCATTTTCAAAATATCACATAAGCACATAATTTGCATTCATGCCTATTTGGGGGGTAGGGTTGCCCTGTCCTAATTTAGAAGTCAGACCTAGGATTCACTAAATCATTCAAAGAGGCAATAATACAATCCTACAAAGGAGGGTATCCTGCCCTAGTTTGGAAGTCCCCCTTGAGTTTGCGGGGGGCTGTTAAAACCTATCACCTACTTCACCCACTTAAACCTATTCCACTAAACCTAACCCACTACACCACTACCACCTCCACTTCACCTACTCCTTACCTACTACACACTCACCCTCTTCTATATATAGGAATCATGAATCATTGTAATATATATAACATAATATCAATCAATAATACATAATTCATTCTCTCTATTTCTCTATACATCAAATTTAACATGGTATTAGAGCAGGTTTAGAACCTAATATTTTCGCTTCACCGGCGGGCGGCAATCTCGCCTTGGCCGCCCGTCAGACCTCAACCTATCCCACTAGAATTTTCTACACATACCTTCACTCTTCTTCACCACCAGTATATCAGAGCTTTGCAATCATCGAGGAGCACCGCCATTCGCACGCTGCCCACTGTCGCAGCTCCGACAGCTACCGATGCCAACTCTACTCCGCCATTGGTGTTTCACTTCTGTTCTTCATCTTGCTTGGGAGCTTCTTTAATCTCATCTGCTCCATCATCCTGCATATCTGAGGTCCACAGCGTGCGGTTATCCCTAAGAAGTTGCATAATCAATGTGCTATCCTTGTAAGACTCCTCTCCCAAGGTATCCAATTCAGCAATTGCTTCATCAAAAGCCTGTTTGGCAAGATTGCAAGCACGGTCAGGAGAGGTTGCGCTCCTCCACAGTCAACTCCTCCGACTCCGCCGCCGCCGCCGAGACCTTCTCCATGAAATCACGTCCTTCCCACTGCTGCAACAAGAAAGGGCAGACTGCCTTGCATATGGCTGTAAAAGGGGTTAGTTGGCGTCGCCTGAGAGATCTCACCACCAAACCCTTTTACCCTTCTCTCTTTCTTTCAGGTTGTTGTGTTCCACATCTTATTCTCAAACCTGGGGCAGATTATTCTCTCTCTGTCGATTTCGAGGATATTTCGGAATGCAGAGAGATCAACCCCTTGATTCAATTTGCTACCAAACACACCATGGAGACACACACGAGCTCTCTCTCTCTCTCTCTGGTCCCTTTCTCTCCACTAGACCCACTTTAATCATCTCCATGATTCCCTCTACTTAAAAAAAATAAAATAAAATAAAATAAAATAAATAAAAATAAATAAAAATAAAAAATAAAAAAAAATACACAGACAAAAGTAGAACCATCTCGTGTTCCCCCTCTCTTCCACTTTCTTTTATTTTAATATATATATATATATATATGTATATGTTTCTTTTAATATCCTACTCCCACTCTGTCAACTTTTGCATACAACCCCATACTTTTTTCTTTTCCTTCTTTCCACACACTCATGTTCCCCACCACATGCTTTCCTCCTTCATATATTATTGTTATATTATTATTATTATTATTAACCAAAAAAAAAAAAAAAAAACAAAATTCTCACCCCTTTTTTCTGCATGTTCTTCTATCATTCGGGTTTGCACAACTCATTTTGTTTTATCATATCAGGGGATCAACCCCGATCACCATTTTACACCAACATAAAAAAAAAAAAAAAAAAAAAAAAAAAAAAACAAACAAAACAAACAAACAACCACATTCACAGGTGGGATTTTTTCTTCTCTACTCTGCCGCCGGTCTTTTCTTCTTGCCTCCGTCCTGGGCGGCCCTTGCCGGTGTTGCCTCCGTGTTTCCCACTCCACTGGGCATGATCACTACTCCCTGCTCCTCCACTGCAGCATATGGCGGCCCTCCAAATCGGAACATCACGGTGGCCTTCCGTTTCAGCTCCTTTTTTTCCGCCTTTAGCACACTTATCTCTGCTCGCGCATCCTTATACATGCGTTGGAGCAGAGCCAGTTGGGCGTTTAACTGCTGCACCTCATTTGTCCTACTCTGAGCCGGTTCGACAATTTGTAACCGCAGTCATGGTTTCCACACTGACTTCAATGTATACTGATTGGCTCCACATCCGCTGCACTGCCATTCTTTGCTCCCACGA